GAACATTCCAGCTTAGAGTAAAAACAGATGGTTACTCCATAGAGCAGAGGTCCCCAACCTTTTGGGCACCAGGTATCGGTTCTGCAGAGAGAGGTTTTTCCACAGACCAGAGGATGCATGGTTTTGTGTGCTGCCTGAATCCCGTGGATGAGGCTTTGTTTGTTTGTGCGGACCAATTGCTGGCATGCTGTGGCCCGGTACCGGTCCACAGACTGGGGGTTGGGGACCTCTGCCATAGACAGACTCTCCTTAAAAAGGGCTGCATGTTTTGTTTTTTTTCCTAAACATGTCACAGTTCCACCTTTCTGCCCCAAGCAGCTGCTGCATTTAGAGCAGGGCCACTTTAGACTGATGAAGAATGGCTCCTCTTGCAATTACAGCTGCTGTGCGAGACATTTTTAACTAGCAGAGTTACAGCAAGCAGTTTCTACTTCTATTACATTTATTTATGTTATTTTAGAAGACCTATGAGCCACTTCAAAGGGAGCGAGCTCTGAGAAGCATATTATTTTCATTCTTCATAATTTAGATTAAAACCATTAATTTTTGTTTGTGCATGTGTCTTCAAGTCTTGGACAAGTCCTGCAGTTTTCTTGGCAAGATTTCCAGAGTGGTTTGCCACTGCCTCCTTCCTAGGGCTGAGAGAGAGGGACTGGCTCAAGATCACCCAGCTGACTTAAGGCAGAAGTAGAACTCACCACCTCCCTGATTGTAGCCTGCTGCCTTGATCACTACACCGCATTGGCTCTCAATTACAAAACAAACACTAACGCTCCAGCAAATCCATAAGAAAGAAAAAAGGGGAAATTACTCACTCTAGTCCAAAATCCGAACACCATTCCTCGCCCTCATAACATTCCCAAGCCTAATGGACTTTCTAAAGGACAGGAGGGAAGAGGCTATTTCAATGTCTGACACAAGCTATAGCACCCACAAAAAGGGGTGCTATAACTGGGGGGGGAAATCACAGATTTTTGGAGTGTCTGACAGCAGGTACTCGGAACGAACACACCCATTTTAATCTTACTGAACAGACAGATGTCATTTAGGAAAGGAGGCTCTGGAGTTACCTAGATCTTGAGAACTAACACTTTGAATTGTAACTGGAAAGTAGCTTATTGGTAGCCAGCGCAACTCTTAAAGTAGAGAAGATACATGGGTGTAGTGAGTAAGACATGCCTTAACTTCTCAAACCCCTGCATTCTGGAATAGCGTAAGTTTTCTATAACTGAAACTGTATGGTCTCACCACTTGGCAGTGCCATGCTAGAGGATATAACATATCATGACTTAATAGCTTCTTTTCTATCCTTATTAAGGTATCGTTCGATCATATATGTATTTGTATGTGCACATACATTTGTCTTGTCCCTTACAGTACTGGGTCACCAAATATACCATGTATGTATGTATGTATATATGTATGTATTTATATATATATTTATGTATTTATTTGATTTCTATTGTTGCCCAACTCGACCAAGTGAACCACTATGCAGTGGAAATATAGTGGATAAGGGCCAATAAATGCAGTTGAATGTTGACAGACAGGGATCTTGTGAATAGCTGGTCCCAAATATGGGAATTGAAAAAAAAAATATTGAGTTATTCAATTTCCATAGTCAACCAAGTGACTCTGGGTAGCTTACAATTCTAAAATTATAAAACAAATAAAAACATTTAAACAATAAAAACATCCACAAAAACAATAACAGCAGCTGCAATGATTAAATAACTAATAGTAAAGCCACGTAACAGGGTTCTTCACACTTAAAACTTTACAAAAGGTCAACAGAGTATGGGCAGATATACAAAGGAGTTGGGGGATGATGCCTCTGATTATCTGAGTAACTTGAAAAGGACAAATGCAGCAGCAGCTCTAATGCCACTGAGCAGAGTATAGTCAGAAGGAGCCTCAAATCCACTTCTGGACTGATAGGAAATAAATACCAAGATACATACTTAGGAAACTTTAAGTGTGGATGGATAAATCAATAGGGCTGCAATGAGAGCAAATCATCGGTCCAGCTTTTTATCTGCCAGGGATTAAATTCTATCTCAGTGGAGCAGTCTACAGCTTAAAAATAGAACTCAGGACTGTCCCCTCACCCAAAATTGCCATAAAATATTTAATCTTCAGAAGGGGAAAAGAAATACATTACATTTATATTACTTAAATTGGTGGTATTAAATTCTTAAGTTAAAGCCATAACAGCCAAATATTGTTTGGAAGTGGCTGAAAATTTTAAGAACTGCAGTTTTTCTGAAGTGAAAAAGCTTACAAGGTTCCAGGGATCCATTTTGCCCCTTACAAATCATCTAACCATCTAAGTAACCCTCCCAAACAAACATCCTGAAGAGACATTTCCTCCAGGGCTGCTCTGCAGACACAAAAGCATTGGTGGGATTCAGCCAGTCTGCACCACTTCAGCAGAACCGGTAGCTAATTTGTTGTTGCCCAGGCCCAGAATGGACTTCTGGAAGCAGCATCCACACAGAGAACCTGTTGTTCACATATTTGAATCCCACCACTGCACAAAAGCAGAACTGAAGTGTTGCCTTTTGCCTGAGGGCTCCCCCTTCCCTACTCCTGCTGAGCCCTTGAGGGCAGTCCAATGGCAATAACAGGAAAGAGGGCAGTGAGATTTTATTGAAACATGACCACATAGAGGCAAAGCACGACTAGAGGCAAACATAAGACAGCAATACCTGGGGCTAATTATTAGTGTGGCAGAACCTGAGCCAGTATGGGGTAGTGGTTAAGACATTAGGCTAGAATCCCAGAGATGTTGAGTTCTAGTCCTGCCTCCGGCACAAAGCCAGCTGGATGACTTGGGCCAGCCCCTCTCTCTCAGCCCCAGATAGGCAATGGCAAACACTTCTGAACGATCTTGCCAAGACAACCACAGGGAATAGTCCAGGCAGCTAACAGCAGTCAAACACTGATTTGAAAACACAAAAATAATAAATAAATAAAATCTGATAGCTCACTCTTTTACCCCCTCCTGTTAAAACTCTGAAAAATAACAGCAGCCCACTGAAGTTGAAGGAAGCAAAGCAAGATGAAGAGGCAAATGGGAATAGTCGAGAAGACTATGATTAGTCCCCACCGCGGTTGCGAGAAGCAAATAGCATTGTGGACCAGGGTAGACAAGATCCAGAGGGAGGCTTTTAATGTTCTCGCCTAATTCCCAGTCTCTAATTTGTTATCAAACCTAGGCTTTTAAATCACATGTGGTTCACAATGCCAGCATATGAATTGAGGTTGTTGTTGTTGTTTCCCCAAAAACACAAAAATGCAGTCCTCATTGTTGCGCTAATCCTCAACATTATAAAAGAGGCTCCTGAGACTGCCTGTGTGGGTTTTGAAAAGAGATTAATTCACAGTTGTATAACAGTAGAATCTCTTCCTGGTCTCTGAGCCCCTGATGGCATAAAGCAGTTAATGGTCCTGAAGAAACACTGGATTAGAAGGTACTGAAGGCTACTGATTGTTAGTGCTTCTTTAATCTTTTAAATCAATGTGGTAATAATAATATCACTGTAAGCTTCCGCTTAAATCTGGATAATGCATTAGGCATTCACATTTTAAGCATTTTGCTGAGATTCTTTTCATGAGCTTGTTTTAGAAGGTTGGCATCACTTATTAAGGCCTATACATAGCTAGATTAGAATGGAAGGGGACGAACCAATATCAAAATATACTTTATAAGTAAAGCAAAACAAATTTGGAACCATTCAGAGCATTGGGCACTGGATATTTTGCATTTTTCTTTTCAAATACTTTTAGTATTTAGTATGTTTCTGTAGTTTCTTGGAACAGAAAATATTTTTTAAAAACAAAACAAAACACCCAAAGGTGCTTTTTTTCATGAGGCAACTGGACTTTCTTGTTTTTCTTTGAAGATGTTTCGCTTCTCATCCAAGAAGCTTCTTCAGCTCTGACTGGATGGTGGGGAATGGAATCCAGTCAGAGCTGAAGAAGCTTCTTGGATGAGAAGCAAAATGTCTCCAAGGAAAAACAAGAAAGTCCAGTTGCCTCGTAAAAAAAGCACCTTTGGGACAATCGTGACCTGGATGACTGAGGATCTCCATAGACATCTGAAAAAACACAAACTTTAAAACAAAACACTATAATTTGTAAGAATAGGGAGAAATAAAATTTATAATTAAGTAGTACCTAATCAGGTAGGCCGTGGTGAATAGTGGTAATTTGGTCCAGAATTTGCAACGTTAAGCAACACAATTGTAAAGTGTGATATTATGTGACTGAGCCACTTAGCAATGGCACTTCCAACAGTCTCTGTTTACCATTGTTTAAGTGAGGACCTTGCGGCTCCTTAAGTAATGGCCTCATGTGATGATCACTTCTGACTTTCTGCTGGCTTCCCCACTGACTTTGCTTATGGGAAGCTAGCGGGGAAGGTTACAAATTGTGATCACATGGCCAGGGGACAGTTGTGATGGTTGGAAATCCAGCCCAATGGCCACGCATCCAAATTGCAGTTACTGTATGTAACCACAGGGCAATGCACCAGTCAGAATTTTAAAGACCAGTTATAACTGCCACTCATCATAAGTTGAAATGGTCACTGTATGAATGGTCATTAAATGAGGACCACCTATACCCACTTTCCCTGGGAGTAAAGCCAGTTGAACTCAGAAGTGCTATGGAATATCATAACACCTAAATGAAAGCCAATTTGGTGTGGTGGTTAAGGTATCAGGTTAGAAAATGGGAGACCGTGCATTCCAGTCCTTCCTTAGACACAAAGCCAGCTGGACAAGCTTGGGCCAGTTAATCTCTTCAACCCTAGGAAGGAGGCAATGACAATCCATTTCTGAGAACCTGCCAAGAAAACTGCAGGGACTTGCCCAGGCATTCACCAGCCATCAACACTGACTTCAAGGATGAAGCAAAAACAAAAACACCAAAAGTAGCCCGTTGCTGTTTTTAAGGGCTTATTTTCACTTCTTTACTTTGTTTTTTTTCTCCACCAGGCTCTGGAGGAATCAGGGGCATGCAGAATACCTGGAGGCCTGGCAAGTGTGAAGAACCAGTTTGAAAAAGGAGAAGCTCAGTACCAATATCAGCAAAAATCTGTACAGGTAAAAATGGAGGAATCATAATAGTTGTTGAATTGTTGAATCATAATGGGGAAACCACGATCCTGGTCTTGTGGAAGGCATCTTGTAATGCAAGGCTCTTGCTAGGTCCCATTTTCACTTAGAAGTGGTGATTATTTCACTCTTTATGAATACACTTTTCCTTTGTCATCTGACGCACATACCATGTGAGAACCACATAAATTTTTACAAAGATCGCAAAGGCTTTGTTGTAAGAGCAGACACTTGGCTGTGAAAAAATATGATGTTTTTCTTTGGTAAACCATTTCCTGAAATGTGCACAAATACTGGAATATTCTGTTTTGAAAGGCTATTGTACCCTAAGGTCCAACAACTGCTCAAATACCAGCCAAAATCCCTACTGCGTGACAGTGAGGCAAACACAATCTGAAATATAGTCCAAAATATATGAAAAAGTACATCCCGTCTTTGGGATCTAATGTATCAGACATAATTTATCAATAATGTTCATGACAGTGAATTTGCAAGTGACATAAATACATCTGAAACGCTTTTCTGTTAAGCCATTTTCTTGCATGCGTATGGATATTAGATTATGCCTATTGCAAGGTAATTACAGCCTTAAATAATCACCATCTAAACACCTGTCAAATGTCTCACTTTAGAACAATGATCAAGACATAGAACTGATTTACATACCCCCAAATGCGAACATCTAAACCACAACTTCAGGGTTATAATTCATTGTAAAAACTCTCTGTGGTTTGCATTTATTTCTCTTGAAGCTGTGCAAAGCTTTTCTGTTTGCTCTTTTCTTTGAGATGAACAAGAAAAATGCAAACGCTACCTAGCTGGCAAATGTTAAGTTTAGAAAAATGATTTATGTACTTTATTATTTAATTATCGGATAATGTTTAAAAAAAGAAGAAAGAGATGGAGGGCATGGTATAGTCAAAATCACTGCTTCACTCAACTGAATTATTTTAGTTTGAAAGTACAGCACCAGTAAAGCAACTTCTGTGCTTTCAAGGTCATCCCGTACAAGGTCACTTCCAGTTTTGCCATTCAGCTGTTAAAGTCCACAGCTAGATGGTTCGCTGCCTTTGGATGTCGACGTGAGCAGGTTTTATTTACATAAAAATAGAACTATGAATCCAAAGGCGAATCCTCTCCACCTCCAGGGGTGCAGAATAGATAAATTATTAAAAACAATACCAGGGAGCATTTTAAGTTTAATGCTGGAGATATGTGCCGATGGAATCATGGATTTCTCCACTGAGAAATGGAATTAAATTTCATGCACTCTACAATGGCAATACTTCAGCAATGCCATATCACATTGCAAAAAGATGGATGGAAGAGAAAGGGAGGCAGGATGGAGGGCAAAGCTGTGACATGGATAGAATCAAGAACAGCTTTTTAGAATATGTGAAACACCTTGAAATATCTCACATTTTATAGGAGCAGGACTGAATTCTGACAAGGATCCCAGAGTGAATATATCATGATGTTCTGTACTTTTGTGGATGTATTCTGTAAATACTGTTAAAAAAAAGTTTTAATTCTAAAGCTGGTAGAAACTGTATCTACTATGTGCAAATCTTCACACACAGGATATTCACTGGAGGAATTAAAGGATTTTAACTGATCCTTTATTGTTTCTGCAATCTCCTGTGGCCCCTGAGGAAAGGTTCCAGATTATATTCAGTTGTTTTCATGTGCATATATGAAACCTGAAATTATATATCCAAAACAAATGGACTTTTTTTTCCCCTGAGGAAATGATCACCAGACAGTCACCACTTGAATTCATTCTTGGGCCTCTGAATGGCCTTGTTATTTTTTTGTTCTCTCTCATCTTGTTCCAACACATCCATTTATGCCATCTAACAAAATTAATTTGTCCTTAGATCTCATTCATTCAGAATATTCTCTAAATCCTTTTTGGTTCTTCCCTTATCATCATTCATTGGTGCGTAACATACAACTTTCATATCTTTGAATTGTTACATCATAACTGTCTAGGTTACATTATTTTACCATATTCTTTCAGGCATAACATTTTAATCTTTCCTTTATCGTTAAACCTACCTTTTCGCTTCCCTGTGTGGTTTCATCACTCCAGTCTACAAGAAATGATCGCCTTCATTCTGATCTATTTGGCCCTCTCTTTTAGTTTATAGACAGATAGCTTATCTGTTTTTTCCATTTCATTCATCAAATTGTGCTTTTTACTATGTTATTATGTGAGTATTGAAATGAACCATTTAAAATATTTTATGTTGCTTTTTAAATGATCTTCTTATGCCCAGCATGGGACTAAACATTATGCATACTACAGGGACCCTACTGAAAATCATATCAACAAATCAAGTGTTACCCTCTGTTTTATTACAAATAACTTAATTTATTTTTTGTTTCTATTGAAGCAATCTGTGACAGAGAGTGTACATGCAGGCTACAGTGATGGATGATACTAAAAATGTAAACCTGTGCTTTAAAGAAGAGAACTTCTAGCGGGATAACCTTATCAATGGGAATATTCCTAGAAAGAATAGGAGTTTCTGCTAATCCCAAAGACACAAAGACCAACAATTTTAAAACATTTCCAGAGTAGATTACTATCTCTAGCATCTTGGGATGGATGCATGGCTTCTGATGCTGAGCTAAAAAGTGAGTTTTCTGTAGCCTTGTTCAGAGGGCAAACACTATTAAGTAGTATTCTGTGCAAGGCATAATAATGAGATTGTAGGAGAGCTGTATTAGTCTATGACAGCCAAAACCAGGAGTCTGGTATATCTTTTCTCACTAATAAATTTTATTAAAAGATATAAGCTTTTATGAGCTCGTGGTGTCTTCATAGAGATGTCCATATAGGGCAGTGATGGCGAACCTTTTAGAGACCGAGTGCCCAAAAATTGGCCCTGCCCCACTGCACCCCCGCTCTGCCCTCCTCATCCCCTGCCCTGTCTGCCCACAAGACCACTCACCGCCTCCAGGGCCCACCACAGATCGCCCAGGCAGCCCAGCAGTGCTATGGCGGCCACACCCTCTGCCCGCGCCCTGCAGCATCAACTACATGATGGGGTGTGAGGGCAGAGTCTTGTCTACGCTGCCTGGCTGCCATGTCCTTGGCTGCACTGCTCCATGTGGGCCATGCTCGAGGGCGACTCTCCTTCAGGGGGGCTGATGGAGAGGAGGGGGTCGCGGGGGAGGCAAGACTGGGGCAACGGTACCTGTGCCCACAGAGAGGGCTCCGAGTGCCACCTCTGGCACCCGTGCCATAGGTTCACCACCACTGATATAGGGTTTGTTTGATTTTGGGTAACAATATGTTACCCAGTTTGCCACTGCTTTCTTGTAGGATATTGCTCTACTACCTTAAAAAGGATATTTTTGAATAGCAAGGAAAGTTATTTTATGTCTATAAGTCTACTAAATATGAACATTCTGAGTGGAAGTTTTCTCAAGAACATTCCCATTGATGGGGTAAGAAAACTGGATCCAAACCTTGAAATATAAAAAATAGAACTAAAAAAAAAATCTAACATGGAATTTAAAGTAGTGACAGAGTCAACCAAAACAAAATAACCCAGATAGGGCAGCCATAGTTCAAGAATAATTTTAAAAAAGCAGTCATTTTCTTTTGAATGAAAGAGAAGTTCTCACCTTGGCTGAAGAATTCACAGCATACATGCTGGGTGAATCTTGCTAATTAAGACACTAGATTGGAAAGGCCCTCCTTTAAATAGCCACCTGTCACATCTTCCTGGCAGGCCCTGTGGATGAATTAAAGCAGAGATAGAGGTATTGTTTTCAAGTGAAACACATGACCGAAATAGGTAGCTACATACTTTAAAGGCAGAAGTAGACTCTGTCCTAAAAAGGAAATTCAGATGAAACCCAAATGGAGAAATGTGATGTTTCATGTCAGAATGCTTCTAAATTCTGGGCATGGTGCATATAAGCCCTCTGGTTTTGTGGTAGCTATCTTCACTTTAGACCACCTCTTTCATATTTAGAGAGAATAATTCTTTTTAGCTGTAATAATTCAGTGAAACATTTCGGTGGCCCTGTAGATTTAATGCCCAGTTTCACTGATAAGAATTGGACATGCTTCAGCAGAGAAACCAGGATTGAGTTAAAGAGATCATCCCAAATAAGTCTCAATTAAGTCTTTACACTAGGGTTTAATTAAATATATTTTGCTGATGCTGGGCTACAAATAATTTCCTGATCTCTCTAAACATAGCAGAAACAGTATTGCAACTTTCAATATGTTGAAGAGTACTTCTCAGGAGGTTTTTTTGACTCAGCAGCCAGAGGATGGATGCAGCCTGAAGATTTATTGGTACTGGGGTGGGGTTCCTGCTGCTGATCACTGTCAAAACAAGTCTTGTGCAGAGGAGCAGTGTGTCAGGGCCATAGCACCATAAGAGTGCAATGTGTTGATATGGGAAATAAACTAATTTAGCGCCCACCCTGTTTTGGGCAAGGGTTTTTTTTTTCAGTCATAGTTTGTGATTCAAACAAACGACAATACATTCCTAAAGTGCAGAGCTTGACTTGTTCTCTCATTTTTCGCTTACGAGAAAAATAAAATCTTATTGATATTAAAAAAAAATGTCCCTTAAACATGATAGATATTTTAATAATAGCATTAGAGAATGTTTTGAAGTCGTATGACTCTTCCTTATTTGACCTTTCTTGATGCATGTATTAAAAGTTGTTTCTTACATTGATAGTCTAATGTAAGCTAGCTGATTTTGCTGTTGTGGGATAGTCAGATATTTCTGCCTTCCTTTTTAAATGTAGTTCTCCCCTATCCAGAATCAAAGCACCAACAAGTGCCGACAACAATTAGTTGTGCTAGCAATGCTGACAAAATTCTGTAACTAATTTGTGCTTTGAGTCTCATTGCCTATGAGCAAGCTTCTTTCCAATAACCTATATGGACAAACTCATGCAGTTTTTAGCACTTTATATATTACTGGTTTAAATTATTCATTTATTTATAAATGTACATACTACCAATCCCAATGGCTCAAGGCAGCTTACAAAAATACATGTATGACATATACAAAATTCTAAAGTTAAATATTAAAAGCTTTAAAGGCTCAACCACATTAAAACTCTAAAAGGCTTGGATAAAAGAACAGATTTT